TACTTCCACAACCTGTTGACCAAAATAGTATAAAAGCCATCTTTATCGCCTTTAAAGAATCATAACATCGAGACTACGGAGATGAATTATTGGCTTGGAGCTTTTACCTGTCCTCATTTCATTTCTGTTGCACTGATGAAAAGAAAGGGGTTAATTTCAACTTACGATTCCAGGTAAGAGTTCATTATAGAAGAAAAGCCAAGTGTGGTGGAAGGTTGCATCATGGTTAAGGGCAGAGATAAACAAATGCATTTCTGCAACCTGCTTGCTTATGCTCAGCTCCATTATATAGTCCAGGATCTCCTTTCTAAGCAGTGGTGCTGCCAGCATCAGGCTGGGTGTTCCATATCAACTAATTATTAAAGACAGTCCCCCACAGACATACTCACAGGCTAACCCAATGTAGGTAATCCCTCCTTTTAAGACTCCCTTCTCAGATAATTCTAAATGTCTCAAGGTAATAACAAGAGTTCAGATTCCCAGCGCCAACATAAATGCAAGGTAGGTAATGAGGCTCATTTGTAATCCTAAGAATCAGGATGAAGAGACAGAGGATGTCTAGGGCAGGCTAATTATCAACAATAGCACTATCAGTAAGCTTTAGGTTATGTGAGAGATCTGCCTCAATGCATAAGGTAGACAGAGACAAAAAAAAAAAAAGACACTTGATGTCAACCTCTGGCCTCTAAACACATGCACACACATGTACCTACATACCTGCATACACATGGGCATACATTCAAACATTTCAAACACACATGCACCGTACATACATATATACACATGCACACATAAAAATTGTGAAACCTAAAATTATAGAATCCAATAAATCAGACACACTAAGTTAGACAAAGTTGAAGAAGGATTTGTGCAAAGGCGTATAAGAAGAAAGTGTACATACTGAACATAGAAAGGAAAGAATGAAAAGTACAAAAAGAAATGTGAAATATATATGAGTATCTAGTTATCAGAATTGTATGGTGGAGGCAGGCTAGTCTACGCATAAAGTTAAACAGTAAGATGCACACTGTGATACTTTGGGAAAGGGGAAATGGAACAAGGAGAACTTGTTTTCTAGCCTATTGCTAGCAAGCATGGCATTCTTTCTCATATATATATATATATATATATATATATATATATATATATATATTCCTGTTTTACATATAGATCCCAGTTCCCTCTCCCTCCCATCCCATTCCCCATCCACCACAGGGAGGGTGATGCCTTCCAGGAGGGATCATAAAAATCTGTCAAGTCATTTGGAGTAGGGACTAGGCCCTCCCTCCTGCCTCTAGGTTAAGGGAGTATACCTCCATGGGGAACGTGCTCCCAAAGTCCTTTTGTGCACCAGAGATACATCCTGGTTCCACTGTCAGAGGCCCCATAGCCTGCCCAGGCCTTTTAACTGAGACCCATGTTCACAGGGTCTGAATCAGTCCAATGCTGGTTTCCCAGCTATCAGTCTGGGGGTTGGTGAGCTCCCCCTTGTTCAGGTCAGCTGTCTCTGTGGGTTTCTGTAGTCTGGTCTTGACCCCTTTTCTTATCACTCCTACCTCTCTGCAACTGGATTCCAGGAGTTCAGCTCAGTGTTTAGCTGTGGGTGTCTGCTTTTGTTTCCATCAGCTACTAGATGAGGGCTCTATGATGGCAGATAAGTTAATTATCAATCTCATTATCAGGGAAGGACATTTATATCAATCCCAACTGCAACCATGTTATCCCAGACCTGTATAGCATCTTTCTAGAAAATTCAACAGTAAGGGGTAAAGTTCCTTGTGGATTATGTACAGCATTCAAATCTCATCTTCATCATTTCTTTACCATCAAATCCTGGCTGAGGTCTACATAATAAAAAAGACCAGTTACAAACAGTAACAATACCCATTCACTCGAATGATAATATGTGCTTGTTATCATCGATTTTTAAACTAATTTAATAAATATGTATTGCATACTAATGTGCTAATCATTATTTTAAAAAGATTTTCACAGGCATGTGATGCTTGGCTTGTCCTCTGTTAAGATGAGCAGTCAATTATTTGTTTAACAAGTACATACTGGTCATCAGAACTAACCAGACTTTTTGTTTGGTTTGGTAAGTCCAATGATGTGTTGTTTCCTGGTTTTATTTGGCCTTAATATATAGCAGAGAGTTACTAATGGCTATGCTAAAACACCATGACCAAAATCAACTTGAGGAAGTAAAGATTTATTTTAGTTTAAAAGTTCCATATCACAGTCCATTACTGTAGCACAAAAAAATAAAAGACCCAGGAACTGATATTGTGATTCAAACTTTGAGCTGAAGATTAGACAAGCAAAGCAGCCAAGCCAGTAGCTCTTACCTCTACCAAGCTGAAATGGCAACCCTGTCTCCAGGAATCCTCAGAGGCAAAAAGCTCTCCAGTTCCTGCCTCCTTGCTGGGATTAATGATATGTGAACCCAGATGCTGAGATCACCTTTGTGTGAGCTGTTTCTTTTAGGACTGCATCAATTTTGTGTAATCAGTGTGGCCTAGAACTAACAGAGATCCTTCTACCTCTTAATCCTGTGTCCTGAGATTAAAAATGTGTGTGTCACCACTGCCTGGCTTCTATGGATAATCAGTATGGCTACTTTGCTATTTTGATCTCTAGTGGCTTTAATAAATCATAAATAATATATCTCCACACATTACTGAAGCAGACAAGGCAAAAACCAAGAGTCAGAAAAGAAAATAATGCAGAGACTATGGAGGACAGCTGCTTAGTGGGCTGATTTTCATGGCTTGCTCAGACTCCTTTCTTGTAGCACCCAAGACCACCTACTGGGGGGGGGGCCTACAGTGAGCTGAGCCATCCCACATCAAAAATAAATAAATAAAAATAATAATGCACTACAGGCTTTTCCACAAGCCAATATGGTGGGGACATTTTCTTAATTGAGGATCCCTCTTCCTAAATGACCCCAGAATTTATAGAAATTCAATAGCTAGGAGAACTTGTGTATAGAACAAGGGTGGCTTTCCACAGATAACTAACAGCACAGAAAGAGAGAACATGAATACAAGTTGGTAACGTTGAGGACCAATTTCTGTTGAGATAGGTAAGTTCAGCCTGAAGCTCAGAAGAAAGATGAAAATATAAAACCACGAACTGGGATACAAATAATAACCCGGACTATAAGAGGAGATAAGCTGTAGGACAGATGGGCATGATGGCCCAGACAGACAGAAACTACTAAGCCTGACAAGGACACAAGGATAAAAAAGCTAGACCAAAGAAGTGGTTTGTGAGGTTTAATTAATGAACAAGCAAGAGTGTCACAGGCAGAAGAGCTGGCAGGTGTTTAAATGGGGAGTTTTCCAGGAAAGCACTTAAGAGTCTGAAAGCCATGTCCTTTTGTTGCCTTGTCAGTAATCCCAGTAATCCTCATTTTCCATTTTCACATCTTAACAGGTAAAATGGACACCATCCCCTGTCCTCCCACTGCTAGTCACCACCCACACAGCCCACAAAATGCACAAATCAAAACACACACGGGGCATTCACACAGCTCTAAGCAATAAGGTCATGTGATTTTGCCCTGAAAAATAAATGTTAGGCGTTCTTGATTGTGTAAAACAAACTGGCTGCTAAAGAATGCTGATAGCATCCTAGGAAGTTCAAGCCAGGATGCATGGAAATCATCGGTGAGAACATGGAGGAGCTAGAGCATGACTTCCCGCTTCGCCAGTGTCGCCAGTGAGTTTTCATCAGAGAGCCCCCGTCAATCCTTTTGTGCCTTTTTATTAGTACATATTACTTGCAGAAAACAGCAGACTTCATCCAGGCACTTCCGTATGTGCGTGCTATACACTGTGATCGTGTTTACTGCCTCCTTACCCTTACTTAACCCCCCCTCCTTCTCCTGATCCTGTTCATTTATCCCAACCTGTACTTTCATTGTTTCTCCCCGCTGCCCCCGCCCCCGCCCTAGAAAACATGCAATGCTGGTCTTTTCCGGCTCTGGGTCATTTCACATGACTTGGTGACTTTCTGTTCCAGGTACCTACCTGCAAATGACTTGATTTTGTTCTTCTTTCTAGGTAATAGCCTATTTGGTGCATATGCCATTATCTTCTGTTGATAGACACCAAACTGATTCTAGTACTCTTGCAAATAGCTCTGGCCATATTCTAATTAATTAGGCACAAACTCGCCATAAAACAACCCACAAATACTGAGTCCCACCTGTGGATCCAAGGTTTCGATTTCACCTGCGGGAACACTGGGCTGAAACTTCACCATAAGAAAAATAGTAACTACCGTTAGAATAGCTGATGTAACATCACATAGCAAAACTAGACTATCCCACTAAAATAACAGGAACTACCTTGTTCACAAGGTGAACCGGCACCTATTATTAAAAAGGCTAATAGCCAAGGCTTCATGGTGCCCTGGACTCATGACAGGTTTCAATACGTATAACGATTACGGCTTTCGGGAAAATGAAAGGATAATCTTATTCTGTAATCGTTTTACTCAAGTTTGTTTAATGGTTTAATACAAAAAGACATTAGGGATAGTCAACACTCTGACAAGACGTGATTTTAATCGTAGCATGCCTTCCTAGTGTGTATTGGCCTCATTCCTTTTTCTAACCCACAAAGTGACATAGTCTGTTACACACTACAGGAAAGAAACTGTGAACAAGGGTATTCCTTGAAAGAACGCCTGTAGATCTAAATTGCTTTAGATAATGCATCCCTTCCAAGGAAAACACACAGACATGATCACTCCTGTAGGTCACCTGCAAATGGTCCCGGGTAGGGAAATTGCTAGGTCTGCATGGACTAGTCTACTGGCTCAGGACAGAGAGGATGAAAGGGCTTTTCAGCTACAAAGCCACACACTGACAACAGAGCTGCTGAAGGCGGGGCCCTGCCATACAGAGGTGACACAAAGGGGTTAAGGTGAGGTTAAAGGGGAAGAGGCTGTGCAGGAGGGTGGGGGCGCCCTAGGCCGCGAGGTGGTACCTGCGCCGGATCCAGCGCCTCTGCCACTGACTCTCCGCTCCACAGATGTTCGCGGAGAAGCTGCTGGTAGCTGAGGCAGTGCTTCGCAGCAGATGGTAGATTCCCCATGGTGCAGCCTGGGTGCCGGATCGCAAGGCCTGAGCCAGGAACACGTAGGAGCAGGGAGTGTGTCCCGCGGGTGCCTGCACAGGGTCCTAGCTGTACTGCGGCGGCGCGGTTCCCAGGCAACGCCCAGGCAGGGGTGCAGCTGGCACCTGAGTCAGGCGCCCAGACGCAGAACCCGGATGGAAACAGTAAAGTGAGGCAGGGTAGCACTTTTTATTTTCGTCCCCAGAACCTGGAGCTCTCAGGACTGATTGTCTGCAGGTGCCCAACCACCTACTCATGCCTTAGTCAGGGCTGTAGGGAGACAGAGGCCTCTGAGAGGAAGGAGCACAGGGCTCTCTGTGCAAATTTCCTTTCATTCCCAGCCACAAGCCTGTAGGGTTGTCCCTGTGAATTAGCACATTACTGGCCCTCTTCCTACTACTGTGACCTTTTCCCAGTTATATTTGGAAGACAGTGTCACAATTCAGTGGGAAAGATTTTAGATCACCTGTGATTGGGAGCCCTTCAAAGGACAGAGTAGCCTGGGACAAGTTCTTTAGACTCTGTTTTATGATCTATAATAATAAAAGTACCTAGTGTTTGCAAAATTCGAATGACCTACAATATATAAAGTGTTCAATACATGGTTTCCAGCACATACAAATCAATCAGTTACTGTTGACTGCATCTGCAACAACAGAATAATGTAATTTATGCTTTTCAAACTCACCTGCATTGAAATTTTGAGTTTTGCAATTCTTTATTGTGAGGACTATCCTGTGCATGATAAGATTGCTCATTTTTTTATCTCCATTTATCTCCATGGGTGTTTTGCTTCTATAGCCGTGTCTGCACCACAAGTGTGCAGTGCCTGCAAAAGTGAAAAGAGTATGGTGTCAGTTCTTCTGGAACTGGTGTTAGAGATGATTGTGAGCCGCCGCATGAGTGCTAGCAACAGAAATTTGGGCCTCTGTACAAGCAACCAGGGCTATTAACCATTGGGCCATATTTCCAGCCCCATATGGAAAAAATTGGCCCTACCCACTAAATGGGATAGACAGCTGCTGGCATGGAGGCTGCTGCTGATGCTGCTGCTGCTGATGATGATGGTGATGGTGATGATAACAATGATGATGGTGTTAATGACAACGGTGATGATAATGATGGTGATATTTGGTAAGCATTCATCATGGACCACATACAATTCTAAGCACTTTCTGGAGATGTTACCAATCACACAAAGGAAGTCTTATAACACTCATTTTGCAGATGAAACAGTCTGAGCATAGAGAATATAAGCTACTTGCAGCACAGACTGCTTAGGGAGAGATCCAGACGTTTGACTGCAATCCTGGTCTTTAACTGTGATGATGATGATGCCTTGCTGAAACCACACTCAACCAAATATATAATATTTCAGACATAACTTCTTTTCCATTATTTCAAACATTTAAACATTAGGTGGGACTTACCAGAAATTTAAAACCTCTGAAGATAAGGAAACTGACTCCCTTTTCGACAAGTTGTTGAAATGACATCAGAAACTGGAATGTCTAGGCAGAGATATAAATATCAGGCAGAATTAGAATCTTCAGACCACACTTTGACAAATGTACATTTGACTATAAATATCAAAGATGGCTAAGTATTCCATACATTATAATCATCATTAGAATATCAAGAGGCTCTTACTATTTTTATTATCAATAGTTCAGAAGCAATCTTTTCATTGTTTTTAAAATGCAGGATTTACTCCATTTATCTCAGCACTTGTATATTTTACTTAAATCTTTTCACAAATAGCATCAGAGGACAGAGTTATAATCCAGTGTTATCTTAGCAAGATCCTACATGCAGTCCCCGGTATTGCAGCCATCATTATTATCCAGCAAAAGTTCAACCTCTTTCCCCACCATTCCATCTTACCCACATATGAAGTCTTCAGATTTCTACACAAAATAGTAACAGCCGAATAGCATAGTTAAAGGCTTTGTCCCTGTTTGGATCGGTATGCATTTAGAAAAATGTGATTTTTTTCCTTTTGCTTTAAAACCTTCTTTTAAATAGTTCTAAGATGACCACAGACTGCTAAAAAGAAAACTAATTACAGAATTTTTAATTCTAAGCACATGCAATTTCTATAATTTGAAATACAAAGAATATTTCATTTGCTTTCAAATTTCTAATGAAGTATATGGGAAAATAGCAATTATAGTGATCTATACTTATAATTATCAATTGACTTGTATACACTAGGCATTAACATAAAAGTTTTTCATGTGCTAACTCATGTAATCTTAGTAACAGCCACCTCACATAGGCTTCTTTAATACAGCCATTTTGGATGTGAAGAACAAGAGTTACAAAAACATCAACTTTTGGTCACCAAAAGTGACCAAGTGATCCACACATCTAATGACTCAGCTGCCTACAGATAGCTGTCTACATAACCCAAGTGACCCATCTCTCCAGTGACTCAGCTGTCTGTAGACTCAGTCTTGACCAAAGTGGTTCAGTTGTCCATAGACCCAGTTATTTGTCACCAAAGCTTTGCTCTTTGCAATGTATGTAAACTTCCTTTCTAATAGAGTGGAGGCATTACTACCAGATACCATATTCCTCATCATTTGATAGACAGATTAGAACATGTGTCTCACACACAATAGGAAAAAATGCATTTATCTATTTAAACCATAGTGTCTATGTAATTCTTGGCAATACAAAGCTAAGACACTTTATTAATAAATTAAATAATGTTTTAAAATAACATTAAAAATAAAAACAAATAATGGCTCCCTCCTCTCTCTCTCTCTCTCTCTCTCTCTCTCTCTCTCTCTCTCTCTCTCTCTCTCTTCTATTCCTTCCCTGGGGAGCCATTATAGGTTTGAAGAGAAAACTGACTCTAGAGAAATGTACAGAGACCTACAAGACTGACCCGAACTAACAATTTGAGCAACAGTGGAAAGACAACCTTAAATGCCCTTCCCTGATAATGAGATTGATGACTAACTTATCCACCATCATAGAGCCCTCATCTAGTAGCTGATGGAAACAGAAGCAGACACCCACAGCTAAACACTGAACTGAACTCCTGGAATCTATATGCAGAGAAGGACGACAAGACCAGGCTACAGAACCCACAGAGACAGCTGACCTGAACAAGGGGGAGCTCATCAGCCCCCCAGACTGATAGCTGGGAAACCAGCATTGGACTGACTCAGACACCCTGAACATGGGTCTCAGTTAGAAGGCCTGGGCAGGCTATGGGACCTCTGACAGTGCAACCAGGATGTATCCCTGGTGCACAAAAGGACTTTGGGACCACATTCCCCATGGAGCGATACTCCCTTAACCTAGAGGCAGGAGGGAGGGACCTAGTCCCTACTCCAAATGACTTGACAGATTTTGTTGACCCCTCCTGGAAGGCATCACCCTCCCTGTGGAGTGGGGGTGGTGGTGGAAGGGTGGTCAGGTGGGGGGGCATGAGAGGGAGGGAAGGAGAAAGGAAGGGAGGGTGGGAGGTAGAGGGAACTGGAATCGATATGTAAAATAAGAAAAATAAATTTTAAAAAATGAAAATAATCTTAAAACCAATAATTCTAAAATATCACTCATCCATTTAATTTTCATTCCTCCTTTTGCCATTAATTTAAGTACCTGCCTTCAGGCTTTTACTTTTAAATGATTTATCTATTTTTATTCCATGTATATGAGTATTTTGCCTGTATGGGTTTAAGTGTGTGCCTGATGCCCACAGCCCAGAGAAAGGAGTGGGATCCCCTGGAAATGGCCATATGAGTGCAGGAAACTTAATTCTGCTCCTCTGTGAAAGTAGCAACTATTCTTTTAAGAACAAAACTATATCTTCAGACCTCTCCCCACCTCTGTATTGCCTGAAGCACAATGGGAAGATGGGAGCTTAAGGGGACATGGGAAAAGAAGGACCCTTAACCAAATTTGTTTGAAGCCTCTTTACAGCTGAAAAGAGTAATCATAATCCCAGCAGAGTTACCATTCCAGTAAGGTCCTTCTCCTTCAGCTGAAAAGAGTAATCATAACCCCAGCAGAGTTACCATTCAAGTAAGGTTCTTCTCCTTCCTCAGCTCTGAAAATTTACTAGCTTTACCTACCAACTACCCAGCATAGTAAAAGGACTGACCCAGAGCCACCCCATAATTTCATCAACCAAACAAATAGAAAAACCAACCAAAGAGAAAAGCCAAACAAATAGAAACAAACAGAAAGAAAAATAGAAACAAATAGAAAAAGTGAATGGAGTAAAATGTATCTTAGCAACCCTTTGAGATATCATTTGAAATCCAGAATACTATGTAGGATTGTGCTGAGGCCCATAACCATTCACTGTGCCTTGAAAACCCACACCAACACTTAGGTAAGTCATTTTCTTTCTCTGGACATCTTCTTTCTCTTAACCTCTGTGCTTAAAACCTACTTTAAATGTAAGCCTGGGGAGATGGCTCAGTAGGCAAAGCATTCACAGTATAAGGCTGAGAACCAGAGTTCAGATACCTAAAATTTACTTAAAAGCCAGACAGCTATGGCAGCTGCCACGGACCCAGCACTCGGGAAGCAGAGAAAGCTAATCAGCTTGCTAGCCTAGCCAAATGTAGTTAGCTCCAAGTACAATGAGAGGCCTTTCCTCAATAAATAAAGTAGAGAAGGATAGAGGAAAGGATAGAGGAAGGGATCCAACACAGGCATGGACACACAAATTCATATACCCCCTCACACTTATACACACACACACACAGAGAGAGAGAGAGAGAGACAGAGACAGAGACAGAGACAGAGACAGAGAGGATACACTAAAAACGGCTATACCATATATTCATTCACACAACTAATAAAAGGAAGAAAACTATAACAAATAAAAAAGAATAAATATGTATTTTAATAAATTGTTACTATTCTCTGAAAAGCCCATACCCATTCTCTTGGTTGTGTTTTATACTCTTCCTGAACACCTTTCTATTTTTAATAGACTCAAATTCTGTTTCACAATGACACCTACCGACATTCTCTTCTGTATCTAAGCCAAAGATCCTATTTCTTCTGAATTGAGGTCCTTAAAAGATTAGTGAACTACTCAGGTGGCTGAGGGTGACATTGTGGAGCTGTGCCTCTGTCCCTGGCTGCTGACAGCCCATCATTGAAACAATGTATCCCAATTTGCCTTGTTCAGGTTTAGTTAATGCCAGTGCTGTCCTGCTTAGAACTAGCCTAACGTATCATTTTCAGCAAAGAGATTTATTTAATGAC